TTCTTCTTCTTCTTCTTCTTCTTCTTCTTCTTCTTCTTCTTCTTCTTCTTCTTTTCCACATCATCATTATCATTACTTTAGCATCGTCTTTGATATTGTGATTGTTAAGATAATGACAGCGATGATAATGATAATTATTTTTGTTGCATGATTATTATTGTTATCAGGATTATTATCATCTTCATCCTTATTCAGACCAGAGGGTTTCCCCCTACCCCTTTCTCACGATACGGTGCACTTTAAAATGCACTTTTCCGGAGTAAATTTTTACAAATCCTGAAGCTAAAATCAAACAACAAAGGAGATCTTTAGAGACGCGAGACGCTAATGGAGGTGCAAAAAAAAAAAATCGGACAAATATAATATTTACCCCAATTGACATCTCTGTCAGTTCCACTTCTAGACTTGAATTACAATATCCCAGACAAGGCACTGTCATGGCCGCCACTCTTTGCTCTCTATCAAAAACTTCACCAACCTGACGAGCACCATCATCATTGCCTTTCTCACCCTGGACCAGGTTACAGGCCACAAGCAAACATTTTCCACCGTTCTCTATCCTGGGCTACCCTCTTGATGTTATTTCAAGTCTTCCTACTTTTCTGTACATCAATTTCTGTGATTCTTCTCCGGGTTCCTCGCGGTCTTCCCCTTGATCTCTTACCCTGTAGATTCAAATCCAATACTTTCTTTGTTATGCAGCTGCCTGACTTCCTCCTGAGAGTATGTCCAATCCATCGCCCCCGCCTTCTTCCTCGTAAGCGCCTTAAAACCTCTACTAAAACAAACTTCTTCCTACCTCATCTCTGACTGGGATCTGTCTTGGTTTCCTTAACACTTCCTCGTTGGAGACCCTGTCTGTCCATCTTATCCTCAGTAACTTTCTTTGACGCGCACCATGGGCCCACAAATGAAGAGCGCAACACCAGTCTCACTATAGTCAAGTGCACACGCAACCTGTCACATCTTGCCCTTTATTTGGCTTCAAGTCGTCTGCTTAGTATAAGACTCCGCCCTACGCCATTTCGAAAAGTGACGTATGAATGACGGAGGCTAACACTACGCTACATCTGAATTACACAGTTCTATCTAACATTTTTGGCTCTTTCGAGTTACTACGACCATGAAGTCAGAAACTAAAGTAAGTTCTATCTGCTCTGTTAAAATCGTAAGATAATTCAGAGTCGTTATCAAGATATTCAAAGAATTGCCTTCGATAAAACATGACATGTTTGGAAACTCAACATCTTTGATGTTAAGTTTCTCAAAACTAGGTACTGAGCAGAAAAAACTTTGTTAATTCTGAGTTAGCGACTAAGCAATCGAAATAGGAGCGTTGCACAATGGCGACCGACAGTGGCATGGTTGTAAACTGTTCTGTATTATTGTGTGTAATAGTGTGTATTTATGTATGTATTTATGCATGTATTTATGTATGTATGTATTTATAATTATGCATTTATCTATGTATTAGTATGTTTGCCATTGTAAACCTAAGTGCCCTCCTGGGACAAATAAAAGTGGGGGGTTTTTTGTTTGTTTGTTTTTCAATGGCGCGCTCAATTGCGAGCCGGAAGTACTTTGAAGTGCACGGTCTAGGATATATTATAATACAAGCCCAATGTTCCTCTAGATCCTGCCGTGCGTGGATACGACGATGCAGACCGAGCAGACGGTCAAACTGATCAGCGTCTGTTGGACGGAGGAGCAGAAGTCGACGAGCCTGACCTTTGACCTGGTGCTGCTCGTCTTTAAACTACTCGGCAGATGGTTGACACAGACGCGCACCTCTGTCATAGCTGTCCAATGCAGGTACTACGAAAGATATTATCGTCAGTTTGTTTTTTAGTTTGAGCGCCTGTGAAACAGTAGCTTGCATTGTATGCGTCCAAGGGCATTGTTTCAGAACAGCCAACAACTAGACACGATTGAATTCTTTTATTCAGAGGTAACGAACCCATAAAAGCTTGGCAGGTATTATTACTGATCAATTAGTAAGTTCTTCAAACTCACTTTCTCTCAACTCTCCCCTCTCTCTTTCTCTCTCTCTCTCTCTCTCTCTCTCTCTCTCTCTCTCTTTTTTTTTTCTCTCTCTCTAAATCTTTATTCTGTCTCTGTATAATTTCACAAACGAGCCTAACATAGAGGACAGTTGACAAACTCCTGGAAAATTGCCTGTTCCCATTTCGCACAATTTCTAACTTCATTCTTTCAGGGAGACAGATGGCCAGTGGTCACTCCAGATTTTTCTGTGAACATTGGGTCCAAGACCAAGCTGAAAATGCCCATTACAGAGACCATGTTTACTCTGTCGTCGGACAGTTCAGTAAGTAAAACAGTAACAACAACAACAGCAGCAACAACAACAACAATAACAACAACAACAACAACAACAACACTGGGCTTCGGACCCACAAAAATAGAATAGACAAAACATCGGACCCAATCTGTCCATTGTGCAGCGAGGAGCCCCAAGATTTGGAGCACTGGCTGCAGAGATGCCCCGCCACGGAGTCCCGGCCTTGGCATCTCTTCGGGGGAGGATTCAGGGAGGTTGGACTGCCTCACCCGCTACCCAAGGGAGGCGGTGGCCC